TTCATACAGAAAATATGGGCTAGGTTTAAGCCAATCATCAGGACAATCCACTCGGAAACAAACACATGTAAGACAGGAGCCATACTCATGTAGGGAGTGTGGCAAAGGCTTTAGCCAATCAGTTCACCTGGCCACTCACATGCGGACGCATACAGGAGAGAGGCCGTATTCATGTAGGGAGTGTGGCAAAAGCTTCACTGTCTCATCAAGCCTGGCCACTCACAAGCGAACGCATACAGGAGAGAGGCCGTATTCATGTAGGGAGTGTGGCAAAAGCTTCACTGTCTCATCAAGCCTGGCCACTCACAAGCGAACGCATACAGGAGAGAGGCCGTATTCATGTAGGGAGTGTGGCAAGAGCTTTAGCCAAATAGCACACCTGACTAAACACAAGCGGACACATACAGGAGAGAGGCCGTATTCATGTAGGGAGTGTGGCAAAAGCTTCACTGTCTCATCAAGCCTGGCCACTCACAAGCGGACGCATACAGGAGAGAGGCCGTATTCATGTAGGGAGTGTGGCAAAAGCTTCACTGACTCATCAAGCCTGGCCACTCACATGCGGACGCATACAGGAGAGAGGCCGTATTCATGTAGGGAGTGTGGCAAGAGCTTTAGCCAAATAGCAACCCTGACTAAACACAAGCGGACGCATACAGGAGAGAGGCCGTATTCATGTAGGGAGTGTGGCAAAAGCTTCCCTGACTCATCAAGCCTGGCCACTCACATGCGGACGCATACAGGAGAGAGGCCGTATTCATGTAGGGAGTGTGGCAAGAGCTTTAGCCAAATAGCACACCTGACTAAACACAAGCGGACACATACAGGAGAGAGGCTGTATGCATGTAGGGAGTGTGGCAAAAGCTTCACTGACTCATCAAGCCTGGCCACTCACATGCGGACACATAAAGGAGATAGGCCGTATTCATGTAGGAGTGTGGCAAACGTTTCACTATCTCATCAGTAATGCTCCAAGTAGTGCCCAGTAGTCATCAAACTTGACATATTGACCAACTGTCAAATAGTATTACTAAATATATAAATATAAATTATGAAGTATTTTTGAAATGAGTAATCTAACACATCTTCAGTAAAGAATATATCAAAGCCATAGATTTTGAGTCATAAAATAAAGTTTTTAATTTATTAAAAAACTAATTGACATTAAGAAACCATAGAATTACAACAGGGCATTGATTAAAACTGTCAAATGTTGGAGAATTGTCCCATGAAAGTTGTTGGCACCTACTAAAGCCAAAACCCATTGTCTTTGGAATTTATCCTACCACCGCTTGTTTTTGCTACTGTTTGCTCTGTGAAAAAAAACAAGGTAGAAGCCTTATTGTATTCACAAGTCTGAAGTATAAGTAAAGCTATGTTTTCCCTTAAAGAATGGGAAAGTATTAAAATAGCAAATAAACAGTGAAGAGAAACATTGCAGTGGCTATTTGTCCATGTCATTCCAGTCTTTTCCTTTTAATTTTTTTTCTTTTTGCAGATGTCATAAGAATGTTCTACCAGGGAGTACTGTTGCTGGACATCTAGACTTTTTATATTTTATTTCTTCATATAAATATTACAAATATTGTTATCCATTTATGTTTTTTCAGGGAAACGAGGCATTTGTTTATTTTATTTCACCAGGTTTATATTTAAAAAATGTTATATGCAGCTACTCCAAATGTTGGATGTGTGATGACATTTTTCTTTGTTTCTTTAATGAGAATATACACAGTACCAATTAGCACCATCCACAATAAGACTTTCTACAACAGGGCTTTTCAACCAGTGGTACGGGCACCACCTGTGGTACATTGGCACCTGGCAGGTGGTACGCGACCATCCTAGAAAAGTGGTAGCAGGGGAGGGGAATGAGCTGAACCGGTGGCAGCACCGCACAAGCCTGAGCGAGAGACGGCTGGAGCTGCAGGGCTGTCAGGGCTCAGCGGAAGCGCCAGGATCAGCGCCAGGCTCCAGCTGGAGCTTGGAGCTGATCCTGGTGCTTCTGCTGAGCCCTGAAGAAGCACCAATCAGCTGGAAAACAGCCCTGATCCTGGCGCTTCTGCTGAGCCCAGAAGAAGAGCCGATCAGCTGGAATGTTGCAGCATCTCCAGGGTCTTGTGATTTACATTCAGATGCTTGGCAACTGATTCATATTTATGACGGTCACAGTGTCCCAGGGTCATGTGAAGTGACCAAAACCTGCTGCAACCACCCAGCAGACTGGGGGGGGGAATAAAAACCAAACACCCCCCCCACTGCCAATCCTCAACAGAAATGCTCACAATGAAAACCTCGGACAGGAGGAAGAGCGCCACCGGGTGGGCAGGCAGGTGTCTTGCTCGGCTGTGGCTTGGGGGGCACTTTTTTCAGTGCCATTGTAACTTCAAACAGTCACTAAGCGAACTGTTGTAAGTCGAGGACTACCTGTATTTTATCACTTTTTTCCTTTTTTTTTTTTTGGGTCATCAACTTTTTGACACCTTGCTAGGCGACTGGTGGTACTCAGATGTTGCCATATCCTAAAAGTGGTACAATGGGTGAAAAGGTTGAAAAGCCCTGTTCTACAAATATGAGATAATCTTTTAAATGTTCAAGTCAGAGGAGAAAATGTTAATTTGAAATTAATGCAAATACAGTTCATGGATGTGCCTGTTTTTATACAAATTGAGAGGTTGAAAGCAAGCATAAGAAATTAATGAATTGTAAATGTCACCATAGGTAATATTTAATCATTGCTTATGTTTCAGAGTCTCAGAGAGATGTTCCTTTTTAAAATAATGGCAATCAGGAATCAGAGAATTATGAAATAGCATATAATCAGAGTATTTTCTTCTTTGGGAAATCAAAGGTTTTTGCTTATTTCATTTACGAGATTCTATTCAAGCCAATTTTTGACAGTGCAGAGCTCACTTCTCAAGATTAAAAGTTATACAATTATTCTCTAAATATAGGAAAATACAGAATCACCATCACATATATACACATTATCAGCAAGAGTTATCAAG